GGATTTTCTGGCACCCATCGTGGCCTTCAAGGTGCAAGGTCTCTACTGGTCGTTTCAACAAAGGCAGTCCCCAACAACAGCGGTCCTGAGAACTCACCTCCGGATAAACGACGTCAAAAATCCACTGGCGAATGTGCATCAAACTCTCTAGCGCTGCTCCCCTCTGCCCTGAAGGGTACTTAAGATTGCTGTATGACACGATGCCAACAAGCAAGTCAAGTGCAGCGCTGGCATTCTGGCAGTTTCCAAAGTCGTTGGGGCCAGTGGGGCCGTAAGCGATCAATGCCGGACCGCCTGAATCGCCTGTGCATCAGCAACTTGGTGATCAGACAGACAACAATTCACTATCCTTTCAGCACAGACAATGGGAGAATGGGGAATCCAAACAGCCGCTGTTGCCCTGTTGCATTGTGGAGATTTTATGTCTGTGCCCACCACCACCTGTAAGGTGTCTATTCAGGGAGTTGCGATGAAATCCAAAAGAAATCAGATCCACCAACTGGGCAGTGTCAGGTGCTGTACGCAAGCACAGTCGCAAGTTCCTCACAGGTTTCAGCCATCTGGAAACTGCTTTCATCATGCCCACTTGGTGCAAGGGGCTTTGAGGTTGCTGAGTACCAAGACTCAGCACTCAGCAATTTGGACATTCTCCAACACTGCCCATAAAAGGCAGCCACACGATGATACTGCAACACTGTGCGCATGCCAACAACAGAGCTTTCAAAACACACGAACGCATTATTATTTCAGGGCTTTGAAAATTCCATGGCACGCCACAATGACTGGCAATGATCCAAGATAATAATCTACTGGCAGATGAGGCATAAGCATCATCAAACAATACATTTCAGCAGCAGACAGACCATAGCCGCCAGCAAGATGTCTAATGGTTCTATGCGCAAGGGCTCTGAGCATGAAGGTGATGAATGCAACAAAACAGGAGTTACGCTCCCAACCAGCACAATGCCACTGCCATACGATCAATCTTCGCATTTTTTATCTTCCCACAATTATCTGTGAGAGGGCATAAGACCCACATCTCACTTGCTGGACTGGGGTTGCGCCTAGACTGATGCATGTGATGTACCATGTATATGTGAATGTGCAAGGCATACATAGAAATGCATGTACTATGCATACATACAAATACAAGTGCATGCGATGTACTATATATATGCAGCTAGGTTAATGCATGTGATGTGGAACAATAAATATCAAAGCCACAGCTCTCAAACAGTGCAAACTGGATCTACAGGTAATTCTTCAGTAAAACAATACTAAATAAATATCACCACAACATATCAAATTATCACAAGAAGGTCAACGCCCCATTCTTGTTTCAGAATGCTGCCATGTGATCACAGCATTGCGCAATTTCTTACCTTCCACAAGCTGTGCCACAGATGACCAAATACAAAGCAAGCCTGGGCCCAGGTCATTCAGCCCTGGGCACTGATGGCTGGGCACAACAGTCATCTTCGCCATTTTTGCTGTTGTGCCACGGAATGCCAGCGTGATAAGTGTTGTTGAGGGGACGACATTGAAGTTGGGTGCAACAAGGGTGGGACCCAGTATGTGCACAGGACTGTGCAGGTGCAACAGGGCCGCGTCCCAGCCATGTTCAACACTTCCATTCCAATAAGGATGAACAACGGTGTGTGTCACCCTCCGCTGCATTCCAATCAATACTTATGTCAAACGAGATGCCCTAGCTGACACATCCACAATGATCATGGCGTCTATTGTGCACCGAAAATGCTGAACCTCGTGTGCTCAGCCTGCAAAGTGCTTGCCGGTAAAATGTCACGGCTGACTGTGGCAGGGCAGGGGCAAAAGGAAGCATGCATATTTGATGGACTCTTACTAATTAACCAACACAAAACTCATTAATCATTATCAATTAACAGCATTAAAAGCAGCAGTACTACAGTATTTGGGTGCTGGCACAACAACAAAGCAAAACCAAGCAGCAGCTTAGCTCCAGACGATCCAACATCTGCAGCCCCAAGCAACGTCACAGCAGGGTGTAAGCCCACAACTTGCAGCTAACACATACCCGTGTTGCATCATCGGCCACAGCACCTCCTGTTGCTGGTGGGGTCATATACACCATCGCATTGGGGCCAACATGCTTGATACAGTGCGCGGCCGTGAGCACCCAGGAAGTGTCGACCACAATGCCACTGCACCTGTGCCTAAAGTCCCACCCCCTGACGCTGACAAAGTAGTCGAATCGCCCAACTGGCACCTCGATCCATCTTCCCTGATGAACATGAACAACAGCTTCACTGACTGCCGATGGCCCACAATTTGCATGGGCAGACATTACACTTTTGGACTCTTCACAAGGCTAGGACACAGTGTACAGTTCAGAAGTTAACTCTGCAGTTGTGTGCACCACCATTATCACCCAGCAGATGCCCAGGCATGACTCAGCAACTTCTGTGCTCAAAGCCAAGGAACCAAGTTGAAGCATCGTATTGTAGACTCTGTGCCACACTTAGTGTGGGCAGTATTGCAGAGGAATGTGTGCCCCCTGTTAGTATGCACCCCTTGTGCAGAAAATATCCTGTATACAGTTTCTCCCCAAAGTCTGTGCAAGGTGTGCTATGAGCACAGAGCAAAACCACAGGAATTGCGCCAACAACACACTGTCGGCCTGCACAGTGCATACACACTGCACAAGTTGCTACATAGCTATTGAGCAAGGGGCTGTCCTTGATGCTACAGATCAAATCTGGCACTGAAAGCCTAACAGCAATATTTACAATAGCACACTACACTTTCAATCTGCCACAACAAGAAGCTGGGACAAACACGTCTGCCACACATCATCAGCAGCAGTGTGCTTTGGTGCCGCTCACCGAGGCAAGTGCCTCATCCCAATCTCCACCGCAGACAGCCTCCAATGTGTTACTGCATTCCCCTACAGCACAGTCCAAACAACCCAATAGTTCAGTGTTACTTCTTCGTTCCAAAATAGACATCACATTCAAATGCGACCTGTCCGGGAAAGACGATCTTCCGAAGTGATGTTTAGACACAGATGTATCTGAAATTGAGCTTGGTTGCACCCTCTGTTTGATACAGAGACACTGTTAAACCACCGGCCTTGACATAACCAAGGGTACCATAGAGTGCAACAAAACACAGTGCACAATGGAGTGAACACAGCTTACTGCAGGTATCAGCTCATTTGCCCCGCTCTTTTTAATAAAATCTGGACCGCTATGTCATGAACACATTGAATGTGGTCATTCATGAGCACTGTAGCTTGCCTGCTGCTGTAAGTTTCCACACAAATTGCTTTTGAAATCTGGGACACATACATTTGCCTCAACAGGCATTCAGCCCAACAAATTTGATGTGCTCAAACTTTGCCGCACCACTGTCCTCCAGCAGTCCATCAGTGCCTTCCATTTCCAGCTGCGGAGCACTCTTCGGAATCACCCCAGTAGCCAAATCTTGTGCGAGCAGCATGAACGCCAAGAGAAGTGGGGTACATGGTCTCTGGCGGCACTTGTGGCTTCGCTCCATGGACGACTGGTTGAGCTTTTGGAAAGAACAAAATGCTTTAGGTTCTTTGGCCCCTTGTTGTCTCATGAACCTCACAAACAACCATGCTGGCGAAGAAACAATCAGTAAAGACAAACCAGGTGTTTGAGATGTGCACACATGCATCGTTGCCTACAGTGTGCAAGATGATCCTCTCAGGGCACCATAATAGCTTGCTGCACACCCAAGAAGGGGGAGGATTAATAAGGAGGCAGAAACTGTTGAAAATGCACACACGCCCAAATTCACACTCAAGGCGCAATGGCCCTATTCTGTCTAAACAAATCAACTTCCTTCCAAGGAAACGAGGCTGCAGTGCAAGGAGCTGTCATTAGTTTTTCTTGAATTGCGGCATTGGCACCAACACTGTGGAAGCAGTACTTGTGAAAAATTGCCTTTATGTCAACAGGCTCCAGTCAACAAGGGACTTTCTTTGGTGGATGTGATCGAAATGGATTCTAGGATGTCTGGCAGTTTTGCAAACTCCGTTTCCTGGCATAGTCTTGGGGACAAAGCCGACATCCCCCTTACAGGCGAATGTACAGTGATTCGGTACAACCCCCCTAACTGCGCCGTTGACAAAGGCCTTGGGGCCACGACAAATGATCGTGCACTTCTGAGTCTGGCGGGGAATGCACACTGCTGCAATGCTTCACCCCACAAGACGCATGAAAACAACACCAAGGCAGCCCCACACAAGCCACAAGCCACATGTTGCCCAGCAACGGCCACTGGCACCACCATCCAACGCGCTATGCTTCTGGACCACTGGGTGAAGCCGAGACTGAACGCCAACAGCAGCCAGTCGTACGAGAGGATCGCGTGCAAGGCCACGACCAGAGGCAACCCTCCTGTGTACGGAGACATCCTCTCTCCGTATCCCCCCCCCCTCTCTCGGCCCCCCTTCTGACCCCGCTACCCGCTGGTCGCCGCATGGGGCGCCGTGGCAAACCGAGACCTCCTCAAGACGCCCAAAATACGCGCACCAAGGCAAATTCCTCCTCCACCAGCCCAGGGAGACTCCACCCAGCCATAGAGAGGCGCCCCCTTGAGCGACGAAGGGGGGCGGAGGCCGCGAGGCCGCCCCGGGCAGGGGACTCTGAGCCTTTCGACCCCGGGCAGGTCTTCCCAGGGACCTCCCCGGGCCAAGGACACTACCCACAATCAGGACCAACTGCCGCAATCAGGGCCCACTGGCGCACAAGGCACGCTGGGAAGGGTGTCCGCGCATTTGCGCCAGTTCACCCGCTCTCGCGGAGAGCGCGGCCGAGTTTTGACCGCCCTCCCGGCCCCACGCCCCACCGACGTGCCCTCAGCCCCCTAATCCAACTTGGACGAATCATCGCGAGTCCCGTCGCAGAGCGACTCGCCACGCCTGATCGGACACAGGCCAGCCCGGGACACACTACCTCGATGCCATCACGTGCAGCAGCCCGATAAGCCAAACAGATCTTCTTCAGATCGGCCGATCTGTCAGGATGCCCGCGGCGCTCCGCCGCTGGCCATCCAGGCCGCGATCCTTCGCGGGAGGACGCGTGTGCGGCTGCCCACGCCCGCGGCCAGCGAACGGACGCGATCCCCGGAGGACCGCCGCGAGGCCCCCAGCCCCCTCTCCTCCATTCTGACGCCAGTCATTCTGACGCGTTCTCGGAAATCGCGAACCTCGGACCCCAAAGCGGGAGCGACCTCTGCCCGCGACCCGCTCGGGAATGCTCACCTCGACCGCCGATCGGGCCGACGGGGTGGAGTCCGGAGAGCCCACGGCCGCCGCGCGGGCCCTCCTGTCCCGCTGGACTCGCGGGCTGCGGCCGACGGGGGCTGGCCGTTTCCGGACAGCGGGTTGGAGTGACCAGCATGGTTTGGCACCGCCCTGGGGCCGTGGCCCTAAAGGCCCCTTGGCCGCCCAGGGAGCCCTGGTGCGCCCGGCGGTCTCTGGCGGGCATATGCGCTCAGGATGCCACGGGTCGGACCTAGCTGGGCGTTAGGTGCGGGGGGAACTTGCCATCACGTGTCGTATGGCCGACTCGCGCACGGGGGCTTTCGCGGCGTTGCTGCAAGCCATCAGCGCCTCTCGCGTAATACATTGGAATTCAAAAAGAAAAAGCCATCAGCGCCAGGGGGGTTCATTTGACAGGCATCTTTTGTTTGATTGGAGATTGTCTTGGGAGTGGATGCGAGAGCGAGGTTCTTCTTGCTGCCATTCTTGCTGCCAACGTTATGACGTGGTGTGCGGGGAATACGCGTTGATGTGCTGTCTGCGTCCGTTGGAACTGGTGCGCGACTCGGTCGCCCTGCAACGCCGGTGGGGATGGCAAGTGGTTTGCAAATTTATGTGACGATGACAGGAGATGACGTTTTTCCAGGAAGATGCAGGGCATCAACCGAGAATATCGGCCGCAAGGCAGGCGACTTCATTCCAGCCCAAACAAGGCCTTTTCACGTGTGGCTGCAGACACAACGGACGAAAAATGCTTTACAGGCAACATCGACACAGAGCAGACGGCCAAAGCCAGCAAACTAACGAGAAAACGGAAGAGCACACAACGTTGACGTTTAACAGACAACTGCGAGCGAAGAAACGGCAAAATGTAACGAAAGTTAACGAACGGGCTATTTTTCTTGAAGGTCGGCAAGGAGGGAGTGGATCCGAGCACCGCACATACTTGTCAAAATCAATACAAACTTCCACATTGACATGCATGTTGACACATGTTTGCGAAGTGCCAATGCAACCATGTTGCACAATGTCACTTCAAATTTGTCATACCGCCGTCCCCTCGAACAACCCCTGAGCTAGAGCCCACCTTTTCTACGGAGAGGGCAACTACAGCGTAGAGCAAACGTTCGTTCTCCACGCGTCTGGCGACTGCTCCCAGACTGCCTGATGCGCTATATATGGGAGCAGGCGAACGCTTGGGCCAATGCTTGTGTGGTTTTGGTTTCATCGCCAAAAGTGCAAGGGTTGTATTCTGTCTTGGTGGGCCAATGTAATCCAAGAAAGTCACTGATACGCTTGGTCTTCGTCTTCACGCGAAGATGCTAAATATTTACGCATTGTTCAGGTTACAAGTGCTGGACCAATGGTTTGGCTCCATTACGTGCCAATTTGTGGTCCAATACAGGAACACGAAAAGGCCTTGATTGCAGTTCACGGTAGTGCTATATATCCGCCATTCTGAAGTGCTGAAAAAATGCGCTGCTGGGCTGAAACACAAAGAGACAGGTGTGGGGCTTAGCTTTAAGGCGGCCGCCCCGAGCCATTGAAGAAATGTACGTTAAACAAAAGTACAGAGAGCTTGCTGCAAAGAACCGATGCCTCAAGGAACTATCTGTCGATATGGCATTGAACACATATCTATAATAATATCTCTACATTATCGTATGAGGAGCTGCCTACCCGCTTTTTAAATTAGGCAGGCAGCTCCTCATTCGATACTGTGGAGATACTTCTTCAAGTGGAGGACAGCCATACATTCTGTAAGGAAATCGTGTTCTGGGCTTGCCTCTTTGCTGCCGCCATGGTGACTCCTAGCGATGCATTCTGCCTTGAGACGCCGTGCGCTGCCGATATTAGAAGTGTGAGAAGTAGTGAGGTGCCGCACCACGCACCAGCAGAAATCGACAGTTTTGCGATGCCAACTGCGGTGCCGTTTGACACTAATTGATGCCATCACAACTACTTTTGTGCCATCACAATCACTGTGATGGCGCCAACTTGTGTCAAAGTGGCGTCGCAGCTGGCATCGCAAGCACGGCGTTTTCTGATAGTGATGAGAGTGACGACTTACAACACCAAGCTTGACTTGATGTGCATGTGCGGTGCCTCTCCATTGCGTTATGTCTCTGTGGTGCAGACCACGGTTGTGACCACTGGTGGTGTCGCAGGAAAGTGTGAGAGGCCAAGCTGTGCGGTACCCGTGGGCCAGGGCCCCCAAGGTAGGTTGGTGCCAGGATTGTCAGTTTTGATGGGAACTTTCGGTCTTGAGCGAGCTGAGCTGGCTGCTGGTGATGCTTGTGGTACCGCACCAGGCAGCTGGGCACTACAAGAGGCAGCCTTCACCTTGCAACAATCGACTTTGGGCCCACCATTCTTGTCTTCCTGTGCATTCAAAGGCGCCCGTTACTAAGGTTACGGAATCTGTCCCATGTGGGCCCACGGCTTCCCCTATGCCTTCCCACATGGGGCGGCCCATGTGGGCATCCGCGGAAGGGCCGTTGAAATGCACCAACGCGCGCCATGTCCCATGTTACTGCAGTTCAACGGCCCTCCCACGAATGCCCGCGTGGACCGTCCCACGATTCTGCAATCCCGGGGGACTGAGCCCCGCATTGGTACTTCAATGCCGCGATGAGAAGTCGCCCACTGCGGATGCATATGACGCCGTTGAGCTCAGCTTCACTGAGCGTGGGCCGGACCGGGCGTGGCCAGCACCGCGCTGGGAGATTCGGCCTCCGTGGATCGCTGCCTGCGGCGGTGTGAGCGCAACGCCACACTTGCTCCCAAGCGACGATCGGCAGACACCGCCAGCCTGGGGCCGCAATCGTGCCGGACCGGCGGACATAAGGCTCCCCGCTCACTGTGCGTCAGTATTTAGGCCAAAATGCGGTACAAAAAACCCTATGCCAAGCAGCAAGAAGTCCAGTACTTGGCGATTCAACACCAGTTTCCGCGACCCTCCCAGCGACCCCAGCAGTGACTCGAAGCTGCATAATGGCCTGACAGCCTGCCCCTTTGCCTTGGGGCCAGGCGCCAAGGTGCAATGTGATTCGCTGGGCGGGCGGGACGCACAAGATAGCAGGGATTTTGCGCAGACGGCCTTTGGGGCTGATTGCAGCCTGCCTCGCTCCCGCTCTGCGGGCGGTTGCAGCAAGGGCGACCCGCGCGGCGCCACAGGGGGCGCGTTTTGACGCGGAATTGTCGCAGTAGGAGGAGGCAAGGGCGCGTCGGTGAGCGGCACCTCGACGTTGCCCTTGCATCCCTGGACCCCTTGTCGGCAACTTCCCTGGCGGTGCCACTTTGCCCTTGACGGGCTGTCGGCTTGAACGGATCCGCGATGCCATGCGTGCGATCGCGATCATGGGGGGGCAGGGGGCGCTGAGGCGACTAAGCAGATCGCCAAGCTCGCGAAGGTGCGCCGGATGGCCGTGGGCGCGAGGGCGACAGGTGGATCGACGGGAAGAGGTTTTTGATCCGGTCGGCATCGTTCATTCTGTTTTGCTACCTTGCCGTCAGCAAATTTGTCCTGGCCGGTGCAGCACCCGGGGCCGCGTCGTCCATGGACTCCGGGAAGACCTTGGGAGGTTTGGGCGACGCGGAACGGCATCCGCCATCATCCAACGCACAGGCGAAGGGACCCGCGCTGCCGGGAAACGAAGCATAGGGGCGCTGCAGTTGAAAGCCTCTGGCTAACACGTGACTCCCAAATTCTGCAGGGGCACGCGGCGGCAGCGCGGCGATTTCGGCGCTGCTTCGAAAGGTGAGGCACCTTCCTGGATGTCTTCTTTCTTCATTTTGCTTTTGTTCGGACCGGGTTCAGGAGATCGGGCTGCTGCGGCCCACAGTACGAGCGGTCTAGCCAAACCTTTGCCATGGCTTCAGAGGGCTGGGGCGCGTTTTCGCGTCTGCCCGCCTGCCGCGTTCACACCAAGGGCGCCCGCGCATGTGTGCCCGCATACGCTCCGACTGCGGCCCGTTTTGTCGGAGCTGCGGTGTGATCGTGCAGCAAGCACCACCACGAGGAGTCGGTGTGGCCCCCTTGCGCTGCCCTACACTCGCTCACACAGCACGAACAGCCTGTCACGTGTCACCCTTGACCGGCACCTCCCCCATTCCACGTGGAGTTCGTTTTTGGTGCCAAGTGTCAAGAGGTGGCACAGTTGACACCCGCCGTACCGACCCACTTACTTCCTGTCCAGGGAGGCCTAAGAATACCCCTTTGGGTGTGTGGCACGTGATCCAGCACTCAGCTGTGTTTTGTTTGTTTAATGGGTGGTTTAGTATGAAGGCCCGGGACCTTTGGCGCTTCGAGAAATTGCAATATGCCACCCAATATTGATAATTTGCAGGATGCAGAATGCTCTGCAAGGGGTGCTCCGGATTGACTGACTGAATGGAGCGGCTACAAGCAACGTAGTAAACGGCTTAGTCTGTGGTCATGGGACATTTATCTAGAGAGTTGTGATCGTCAGAAATTATCATTGTTTCCAGTGGACCTCACCATGCTGGGCGAAACAGACTACTCCAAAAGGATTCGCCAAGAGGGCGGCCAAAGCAAGCACTGGAGAGAGGGATCTGTCAAGGCTGGACAAGCATAGGATTGTGAAGAGTATTGAGAATGAGCATTGCACTCGAAGTACATGATACAGTAGATTTCGTGACATTTGCATGCTGCCATGATCAGAGTGTGAAACAACCTACTATTGATAAACATTTGCAGTGTGCACCTGACTCTGAGATTTGGCCGCCTGGGATGGCACAGATGTACTATCAAAACTTGACAAATTGAATGAAAATGAAAATAACGAATACATGAAATATATGGGTTCTGCATCCGAGGATTGCACTCAGCCACAGTGTTGTGGCCAGGAGACCTTTGCTCATCAATGCGGGCAGCCTACAAGCTTTGGGGACTGCCATGGGGGTTGTTCACATACATGACATCGGTGATATTGGTGATGTCACTGCTATTCTGGCTGCCCACCAGGACCACGGCAGGCAAGCCCCTCGCTAGCGAATCACAGGTGGCGCCAGACCTCTGGGAAGGTATGTTCCTGATATGTTGTCTTGCACTGGTTGATATGCCATGTCTAGTCTGTGGAAGCCGTGTGTCAATATGTTCAGGCTCTGTAGAGCAATGGAGAAGTTTGGGCAACTGAGGGGAGCAGTTTTGGAAACTATTTTGGATAACCTGCTGGCAGGCTTCTACACGGCCCTATTTATGCTTCCCA